AGAGAGAGAGACAGAGAGAGAGACAGGAGACAGACCGAGAACGTGACAGTGAGAGAGCGAGAAAGTGAGAGACAGCAATGTTGATACAGTCAGCTTTAGAAGGTTTCCCTTGCTTCTGTCTGCATATCCCCTCAGGATCGATGTCGAGCTGCAGCTCGAATAATCAGAGGGTTGTTACGATGCTGAGCTCTCCTGAACACACAGCCAATAATGCCAATTTATCTGGACCCAAGCTCCCCAAACGGAACTGTTTCATATGCATCAGTTAAGCATCACTTTCTTTAAGGTCAAACATCTCCATGCACATTCTCCACTGTTAGAAGCAGTGTCTATGTTTCCCATTTTCAGTCTACCGTCCAAAACTAAAAAACACAAGGTCTTCTTTACAGCCAGAAATCCCTCAAATTTTCTTTCCAGCTACATGATATTCCGAGGTCCATGCATGGCAGCAACTTCCAGACCCAGGAGTCAATGCCACGACTGCCATGTGCTAACTGTTGTAGCAGTCGGTTTCTAGACAGTTTAGAGAGAACATTGTTTACAAAATCTAGGTGTAGCCCCAGAGTTGATAGCCAGAGGAGCCTGCCCTGGAGTTCTGGATGAACAACATCAGAGGCATTTGTGGCAAGACGGTTCAGACATGCTGAAAGTATGGCCAGGTGCAGGCTCACCCTGATCTACAGGGTTGAGGTGGATAAGCTTGGTACTTCTGGAATACCCAGACAGGAGGCTTTTGGGGGTGTACATATGGTTTCTCCTTCAGCTGGCAGCATATTAGCACAGACCTGACTCTATGATAAGAAGGGGTACCTGGTGTGAGGTCAAGGTCTTTTGCCATTGGTGCTGAATCATGGAGTGCAGATCTGTGCACATATCTGACAGATATGGACCATGGCTCTCCACAGGAGCCACCATGTCGCTCATGGAGGGAAACTGATACACACATGCCAGAGCCAACACAGCATCAATGGACTCTTCCAACCTTCGATCGAGTTTCCCAAGTATCCCTGCCTGAAGCTGCTGCATCTGTTTGCGCATTTTGACAAAGCCATTAACAGCCAATGCCATGAGGGTCCTCTCCTACTTGCGGCTGAGGAGATGTCCAGTCTCCTGTTCTTCTGAGAGTGCCAGCTGCAGAGACACACCAATGATGTCCTCACCAGACCGTGACTCTATAATCTAGTGACAGCAGCCTCTGAAGAGTCAGAATCTGAGTCATGGACAGTGCAGGAGGAAGTCTTGCTGGTGCTTCCTCTGAGGGCTCTGTGGCCTGAAGTAGAGCAGAAAGTGTTGGCTTGAGGGTCTCTTGTGGGAGAAGGCTGAGTGGATGCTGCTTGTCTTCCAGAAGACGTGAGAGGGACTGAGTTGCTAAATAGGGGTTGAAGCTTGGGCATGCTAAGAATACATTCACAGGAGTGGTAATCAGAGAGCAGTGCAGCACTGGGCAGTGAATTTTACATAGTAGACAAGTCCTGAGCCATGGAGGTCCCAGTACCACCACGAGCGATCACGGTCCTTTCCTGCTAAGACAAGGATTCCCTCCTCATAAAGTGAGAGGGAAGTGGCTAGCATAGCTGTTAGGGTTGGTGCAAGTGGAGGAAAGAGGTCAATAAGGTGCCCCAAATAAGCGAACAGAAAGCACAGAGGCTAGCAACAGTTAGAGGTTGAGGGGATGGAGTGAGTGAGAGCCATTAAGGGAAAATGCTTCATGCAACAGTGGGAATAGTAGACCATGACTCTACGTGGATGGTATGGGCAGTGGCATAGTTACGTATGTACAAACAGGCCATTCAGCCCCCACCCGAGCCTGCTCCGCCACTCAATAAAACCACGGCTGATTGTGATATTAAAGGTGCATTCCAGTCTAACTGGTTAGCCTTTCATTCATTTACTTCACAAGAATCTATCTCCCTCTGCCTTCAAAATTTTCAGGGATTCTTCTTCCAGCACCTTTTCAAAAAGTGGACTTTCAAAAACTCACAAGTCTCAGAAACAAATTCCCCTCATGTCAGTTTTAAATGGCTGATTCCTAGTTCCTTCAGCTCATGTAATAGGAAACATCCTCCCCACATCTAATCTGTCAAGACCCCTCAGGAACTTGTACATTTCAATCAAGTTGGCTCTTACATTTCTAAAGCCCAATGGTCACAAGCCTAGTTAAAGTGAGTATGAGGTAACAGATAGAGTATGGTGGAATCTACCCTTGTGGAGCACAGAAGTTCATTAATCTTCTTCCTGCACTGCTGGGATATTGCACTGACCTAGGCAGCAACTTCAGACCAGACTAGAAAGGTCTATTGCTGTGGTTTCCGCTGGCCATCCTGAGGAAAGAGGATAGTACTCCTGTCTATCACCATGTCTACCAGAGCCTCCAGATTAAGGTCAGCAAAAGGAGGTACCAACCTGCCTCTATTAGGGCAATTCTTCCTACACTGGAACTGTGAGTGGCTACTCCTGGCATGCAGTGCTTGAACTAGTGCACAACTGAGATTTGAATACGGCACCATAGGCAGAAAACCTGGAATGCCCTGGCAACGTGAGCACCTCTATTGCTGCTGAGTGCAAGACAGTACAAGAGCAGCACCATGGAGTTATGGTACATACTTAACAAGGTGAGTAGAGTACAATTACATGAGAAAACTCACCAGGGTTTACAGAGGCAACCTCTTCATGAAATGCCCAAAACTGATGCTTAGCCTAATTTTTATTGAACAACGTACCTTTCTATCTTGTGTACTTACATAGATAGGTATCCACAATATTTGCCTCAACCACTCCATGTTATAGTGAGTTCCACTGTCTCAACAGTCAATGTAAAAGGAGGTTACTCTTGTATCCCTGACTCAAGTAAATTAAACAGAACAGATGAACATTTTCTCCAAACTGAAATTCTTCTTTCCCATATATAAAATCCCCATATCATGTAATAATCTCTGACAAAGAATAGCAGGGGCTTATTTCTGTATTCTACTCTTGTCATTCAGACAATTGACTCTTCATTTCCCAAATGGATCAGTAAAAGATTGAATATTCATCATGTGAGGCTAAATGGTATTTAATGGTATTTTTTCCTAATATAATCTACAAAGATGTCAAACTTCTGTTGTACACTGCTGTTTTGAAGCAAATATGCATCTGGTGTGTTCATACAGAATTTACCATTAGTTCCAATGAAATTCTTTACCTTGCTAATTCCCCACATTACATGCGTTCTCTGTGGATCAGGAAGCCTGAAAAACAGTGTGAATCAAGCAGAAATTCTGAATACTCAAATGTGAACAAAAATACAGCAACACAGATACAATAAACAGCAACAAAGTCAAACTTAGCAATATCCATTTGTTGAATTTTCAAGCACAGAAGTTGGAAAAACAAAGTATGGTCAATCTATGATTAAAGTAAATGCAATTATTTTCACTCCCTCATAAACAGTAGACAAAGTTAAATCAAAATGACTGCACAGACACCATGCAATACTACAATACCTGCAACTCACAACTTATTGTGCAACAATGTTTTGGCATTGTCTCAGATTACATTAACCACAAGTTGACAGAAGTCCATTATTAAGTATGAATGATTAGATTCCCTTTAGATTACATTTCACCTTAGAGGGAACTTCAAAAGATCCAATAGTGACCAGCAGAGAAAAAAAATGGCAAATCAAATGTATTTGTTAAACAGGCAGATCAGCAAAGGTGCTGTTGATGAAGGAGGGTTGCTAATTTGGGATAAGGTCTTTATTTTTATGTGGCTTCAGGTAATTCTACAAGCCAATGCTCCAGTGACTAAAATGATCCTACCTGAAAGGGTAGCAGAAGACTTTATGGTTTAGTTTTACTCCAGAAGCAGACCTTTGTATACTTAATGGCCTTGAACCGGAACTCTGACAAGCTGTAGCTAAGATCTGTATTTGTGGGTGGAGCGAGTGAACCTATGAGAGCAGAATGTGCATTCTGCATCAGGAAACAGAAATGCTACACAGTAATTGCTCGGTGGCTTTGGCTTGGAGTCTCCTAAATGATTTTCTGTAAAAAATGTGGGGAGGCAGGTCTCATAGTAGCAATGTGACTGGACTAGTAATCTAGAACCTCGGACTAATATTCTGAGGACATTGGGTCAAATCCCACCATGGCAGACGGTGAAACGTGAATTCCATTTAAAAAGCTGGCCTAATCATGACCAAGTAACAGTTGCTGATTGTTGCAAAATCCCATCTAGTTCACTCATGTCCTTTAGAGAAGACAAACTGCCATCCTTACCTGGTCTGGTCTGCATGTGACTCCAGGCCCACAATAGTGTGGTTGACTCTTAACTGTCCCCTGGGCAATTAGTGATGTGCAATAAATGCTGGTCTAGCCAGCGACAGCCACAACCCATGAATAATTTTTTTTTGCTACACAAAATAATTGTCACTTTATTCACTATATTCAATATAAAACATATGACTCACTTGTCAAAGCTGAGGACACTTTGGAATGAGTCCACATCACCAAATATCGATAACATGTACACTTCATCCACAATTACATGCAATTTGTATCTACACAACCAGGGGGAAAAAAAAATAGAAATCTTATTGAATCAGGTTGCACAAAAAATCTCAGGTCAAAGAAGGGGTTTGATTTTTATACTCAAGAGAGCTAGATTGTATAAATGATGCAGTGAGTCTAGTCAACTTGAATTGAGGACAGGACTTGCGTGACTTCCTGGTCTGCCTTTTAGTACAAGAACATCCTGAATAGATAATATCACTTGTTTTAAATATTCACAAGCTACTTCAATTACACACTTACAAATCATTTGGGGTAAACCTTGATTCTGTGCATCAGCTCAAACTGTAACAGCAAGTCAGCAGCTTGTTTAATCTCTCTCCTTATTTTTGTTTTCATTGAAGTCTACATCTTGGGGATTCTTTGGAAAATATGCTGAAGTAACTTGTTTGGAGGCCTCTACCAATGCTAATCTATGTATCAGTGTCCAGAAACTGCACAAGAGTGTCAGGTGGGACAGAGAAAGCAAAACAGACCCAATTACCCCATCTCCTTATGGACAAGTACTTGGTATCTTCTGACAGAGCTTCAGAAAATCATTTGAGGAAATTATTGGCACAAAATAGTCTTGAGACAATGTGAGTCAGTTGTACTAGTTTGCATGGCTCATGGTAGAACCAGAACCAGCCTCTGGGCTCAAAATGATATTAATTTGCAAAATATTATCAAGCTCATCAGCACACAACAATGATTGATACACATCAGGGCTTACGGGGCATCGTGGGGATGAGAAGTACAGAAAATTATTAAAACCACATTACAATGGAATAAGGCACTATTTTGGCTATCGTCACAGATCTTCAGCATAGATCAAACCACAATATTCTGCAAAGGATATTTTAGAGTTCATAAAGATTCATGTAAATAAGTTAAAAAATGTACACAAGTTCAAATAATCAAAATATTTGAGTCTAGATTTATTTTGTGATAGTAAGTGAATTACTTGAAATCAAAGCTAAAGATGGCACATAATCATTGAACGGGCAGTTTGATTTTTTTTTAAGAGAAATAAATGAAAATAAAACACTCTTTTATAACCTGGAACTGATACAACCTACAAGTCCGTAGGGGATTCCCAATATCCATCTTCTAACATTTTAATAATTTAAAAAATATTACATCTCCTTACAAACTTTCAATGCTGATCTGGCAAGAAACTGTTTATGATACATAACTCCAGTGGAAACCTCACCTGTTGGCAAACTCAAGAAACTCTTTCATTTCTTTTGCAGAATAAATATCACCCAAGGGATTGTGGGGATTTGTCAGAATCATTGCCGTGACCCTGGTACCCTGTGATAACACAAAAATCATTAATGCTAGCACAGAACAATCCTAGACAAAGCTGAATCAAAATGAATCTATTTTGGGATTACACTCAATTAAAAATATATTGACATCACCATAAACTCTTTCCATTGTGAAAGTTGAGTTATGCGAATTACAATAACTAAATTACAGTGCAAAGAAGCAGAGATAGGTTAAACTATCTGGTTCAGACTTGTAACTTTTTTCCCTTCATCGGTGCTAAAAAATCTGCATCTTCTTCTTTTGATTCTGATGTGCAACATTATTCATTATGGCATTCCTGTCTCAAATTGCACAAGATATGCTGAATAAATCAACACTGATGTGCAGTTATGCAGCACCTTTAATGCAGTAAATTGCTTCTAGGTGCATCACTGTACAGTTATTAAACAACACATGCCATCATGTCCCATTAGGAAATATTAGGACAAATGAACAAAACTTGGTCTTAAGACAATCATAAAGGAAGACAGATGGTTAAGAAAGTGGAAAGACTTACAGAAAAAAATTCCAAACTTTAGGATGTAGATAGATTTACGTAGCTTACAAATTCATCTTTGGTTTAAACTCTAACAACCAATCAGTCATTCAATTTTTTAGGACTTCACCTCAAATGGTATTGAAGGTGTAAAATACAACTCAAAATTCTATTCAGGAAATAGGTTAACAGCACTGAAATATTCCTTTACAATGTTCTGTGCATCGATTAAATAGTGGGGATCCCCACTAACCTCTGTATCCAACGTATCATTCTCCGCCACTTCCACCACCTACAATCCGACCCCACAACCAAAGATATATTTCCCACCCACTCCTATCTGCCTTTCATAGGGACTGCTCTTTCCACGACTCTTTTGTCTGCTCCACGCTCCCTACTTAGCCCCACGACCCCCAGCACCTTTCCCTTAAACCGCAGGAAGTCCTACACCTACCCCTACACCTCCCCTCTCACCTCTATTCAAGGCACCAAAAAAACCTTTCACATCAAACAGAGGTTCACCTGCACCTGTAGCCTCCTCTACATCGGTGAGACCAAGCGGATGCTCGGACTCCGCTTTGTAGAGCACCTGCGCTCTGTTCACGACAAAAGACAATACCTTCCAGTCGCGAACCACTTCAACTCCCCCTCCCACACCCAATCTCTGGGCAACATGTCCATTCTGGGCCTCCTCCAGTGTCACAATGACGCCACCCGGAAACTGGAGGAGCAGCACCTCATATTCCACCTTGGGAGTCTACAACCCAATGGTCTTAATGTGGACTTTACTAGTTTCAAAATCTCCCCATCCCTGGCCTCATCCCATGATCAACTCTCGCTCTCATCCCCACCTCTTGACCTGACCCAAGCTGTCCATCTTCTCTCCCACCTCACTGACTAATCCCCACCACTGCCTACCTGCACTCACCTATCACCATCCCACTTACCTTCCCCACTCCCACCCCTCCTCTTTATTTATTGTTGAGCTCCCTTCCCCTTCCCCCATTTCTGAAGAAGGGTCCTGGCCCAAAACGTCAACTTTCCTGCTCCTCTGATGCTGCCTGGCCTGCTATGTTCCTCCAGCTCCACCTTGTGTTATCTGTAAACCAATGGGAGTTTTCCTTTCAGAATGCCAAGTGTTAGCATTCCACTGAAGTGAAAACAACTGACATGAGATTGAATAGAAATGTTGAAAGTTGTTGAGGTTTTCCTCAAACTTTTTAGTCAGTTAGAAAATACCAATAGAATGCAGCTGAAGCGTACAGTATGCTGAGGCAGAATTAAATGTTGATTTTGTAAACTTCAGTCAAAAAAACACTGGAGGTTAGACAAAGACAGGACTGAAAGGCACAATATTTTACATACAATGACTGTTCAACTCATTTCACAAAATGTGTTCACCTGAAAACATGGGAAACAGATTCTCATACTTTACACTTGTCATTTTTAAAAGCAGAATTTTCCTACTGAGCATATTAAAAGAACAGCGAAGGAGAAACTGAGAGTGAGTTAATTCCTTCAATACAGTGGAAGGGCAATAATGACACTCTGATGAAGAACTACATTCAGTTAGCAAGTAATGGTGTGTATAAAATGACAAAATGAGTGAAGTAAATCATTTTCTGGCATATTGCAATAAAATGATCTTCAGGAACCATTGCTTGGATATTTTGGCATCCATTGCAGATTCACTTTCAACACAGCACTGAAAAAAACAGGGTAGGCATCAGAATTCACTTCTAGACGGTCAGAATTAAAAAGCAAAGAAGTTAAATTGAACCTGTATGTAACCTTGGCTAGCTCACATTGATTGCTGTTGTGTAAAAAGGATACTAAGACACTCAAGAAGGTGCAAAAATAATTTGCAAAATTATAAAAGAATTAGGACTATATATTCAAGAAGAAAGGCTGAGCATCCTAACTATATCCTCCTTTACAGTGCCAGGGATCTGGGTTTAATTCCAACCTTGGGTTACCGTCTACAGATAACACATTGTGTCAAAGAGTTGTTATTTATTCAGTGATAAAAAAAAGCACAAATTGGTCAACTAAAGGTGTACGTTACACAATCTCTGCAGAATGTACATTTTTTTTCCAAAATTGTGTATAGAATTTTGCTCAATTAAGTTTTCATTGTCTGAAACTAACTTAGAAAGCAAAGCTACATAAAAATAAGTAAATATACAGAGAAATAAATCGTAAAACATCAAAATTTCTGAATAATCCACGCACCTGTAGCTTTGCAATCTGCATTGATTTTTCAAGCTTTCCTACTGTTAATTGAAACGGACGTGTTTCTTCATCAGTCACCTAAAACAAGAGCATCAAATGTTCACTGCAAGATTTAACTTCACACCTGCATGTTACAGATTTCTAACGTTCTTTGGGACTAGGAGGGTGCAGTATTTTCACAAGTTAACACACATGATCACATGCAACTGCATCAACAAAACCCAACCTAGCATGACTCACTCAACCACCATCCACAATTCCTTGATTAACAGGAGAATTAAAAAAAAACAGACCTGCCACTTCAAAGTTTCAGAGGTGCTTCAGTCAAACAGGCATGTTGCCGGAACATGAAAATACTTGAAGTGAAAGGGTAGTTTTGTATTGCAATGAACCACTCGTTCTGATCATGTTCACCAGTGCACTAGCGGTTTGGCAATAAAAATCCAATAATATGTTTGGAACAAAACTAAATGTTACATGTTTTGAATTCCTAATACATCATTGTTCAGGACATAATTCAGAGACAACTAATGGTAGAGACAACCCTGTGGGTTACTCAAATGTTTAGTTCTCATTCATTCAGGTTTTACTAAGTAAAATTACAAAACATTATGAAGCAAAAGAAAAACAAATTTTTTAGCTATTTGTTTTTGTGTAATCTCCTTACTTTGCTCTCCAAATGCACAAGTAGTGGTTTGACTGCGCTGTAGAAAAATATATCATCCTTGATAACACCATAGTATGGAGAAGGTAGTAGAATTTTATCTGCCAAAACAGAAGGAAAACCACGCAGTATAATTAATTCAACAATAAAATGACACATGGTCGAAAGACAGAAGTTGACTGAATCAACCCTCCCTGTTTACCAGTATAAATGTTGCAATTAACTAGTAATGCATGGGCTTCTAGTGATATAAATTACACCACTAAGGATCGTAGGTCGGGAGTAAGACAGGATTTAGTGTCAATGATAACAAATGTGAAGAATAGACTGAAAATTGAAATTTTATTCATTTCCTTAAATTATGAATACAATATTGTTTACTTAAGATAGTCCCCAAATTTGCAGAAACAGATTATTTTTGCAATTGTTCTTGAGATCTGGGCAATGTTAGCATGGTCTCATAAATTGGCAATGTCCAGTTGCCTTATAAAATACTGCACTGGGGTATCTCCCTAATTCATGCTTCTAAAATTAGTAGCAAATTGCAGGACAGCAATCAACAATAATGAAACCACTAATTGTGGTACTTATAAGGATGGTGCAGAACTTGGAGAGAAACCTGGAGATGATGTTGCTCCTAAGAGCTTCCTATTCTTGTATTTCCCAATGATAAAGGTTATGTGACTGGGAGACAGTCACTGTAGTTGGTTACTGCAGTGTGTCCAGTCGTTAGTATATGCATTACAGCTACAGCTCAGTGGGGAAAACTGACAGGTTATTGCCCAAAGAGCTTTGGGTTCAGTAGACACTTATGTTTGCTCGATGATAATCTTTCTAAAATATTCATCTTAAGAAACTGTAAAGCCAAGACTGGATTGTGAAACAGGTGGGTTAGCTTTGCTGAAAAATGTCAACTTGTCAATTGTTGGAATCGGTGTTTGTGAAATAGCTTACACCAGAAATTGCTTTATTTTGAAATATTTTGATAAGTATTTCAAAACCTTTGTGTGATATCAACAAAAGAAGATTAGGATGGGGACTACAGTACACGTTTGCAGAATGTGAAAGATTAGATGAATGCTGAAACTGCAACTGTGCAAATGTTGAGCTACTATTAGAAAGGCAAATCTTAGGACCTTCAGAAAAACAGAAAACACTTACGTGTAAACTACGTGTCAGAGCTTAGAGGATCCATGGACTATCAATCACCTCAACTTGATAACAACCATATTGACCAGGACAAATTATGGCCTAATAAGACAGTTAAGGATTTCATGGCAACGGAAGATAAAGAGCTACAGAACATTACTGAAAGCATTCAGATTACAGTCAACAGAATACAGAACACAGAACACAAGAGAAGACTGTGCCCCAGAAAACTCAAGCAGGAACAATCAGAATTGAGTCCACTTGTGCTGTCTAACTATTGCCATTGTTAGGTACTAACTTTGCATTTCTGTGGTATACTTAATATACTTAAATATACCTGACTTGATTAAAAAATGTGAATGTGTACCTTCAGGTCAGAATTGGTCATGAGCCCTGAATGAGATGGGCTGCAGTAACTTCTGTCTCATATGGATTGTCATAGCGAGGGGTCTTTCTCTCCACTATATCTAACATTTACAGTGTGTCAAATGATGCTGAGCTTCTAAGATATTATTGGGGGTTCACCCATCCGGGCGAGCAGAGAATATGCCATTACACTTTTGCTTTGAGTCATGGAGATAGCAAGAGGTGAGGGCTCAGGAAGCAAGCTATTCACCACAAAATAGTAATGACAGCCTTAACAATAGCCTTGATTTACCTGATCCAGGTAGGTTTCAAAACAATAGTAGCCTCCAGGACACGCAGGGTGAGGGAATAAGCGACAGTGGTACCAGTACTGGAAACTGGCGTTGCCTGATATTTTCATGGCAGAAATGTCTCTTCTCAGCCCAAACTGTATGTTGTCCAGGTTCAGCTCCATACATATCCTTCTTCTGAAGGAATTGTTAATGGAGTTGGACACTATAGAATTATCAGAAAACACCCTACCACTGATATAAAAAAGGATAGATCATTACTGGGGTAGACCAAGATAGTCAATGCTACCCCAATGAACTCTGCCCCAAGACAATGATGATTGTGATTGAGCATTGATTGACTAATGAGTGGAAAGCAAAGAGTTAGGATAAATGGGTCTTTCTCTGGTTGGCAATATGTAACTAGTGGGGAGCCATAGGTTTCAGTCCTCAGGTACCAATAATTACAATCTATACTAATGACTTGGGTGCAGGGATAGAAAGTACTCGAGCCAGATTTGCAGAGGGAACTGAAATAGGTGGGAAAGTAAGTTAGAACTGTACAGCACAGGAATGGACCCTTTGGCTCAAATTACAAAGAAGAAATAAGAAATTTGCAAATGGATATGGATAGGTTAGGCAAATGGTCAAAAATTTGGCACATGAAGTTCAATGTGGATAAGTGTGAGATTATCCAGTTTGATCAGAGGAATAGAGAGGCAACTTATTATTTAAATGGAGAGAAACTTCAGAGTGATTTAGTACAGGGGGATCTGGGTGACCTTGTGCATGAATCACAGAAAAAGTATGGGGCTACAGCAGATATAAGGAATTCAAATGGAATTCTGGCATTTATTTCTAAAAGAATAAAGTATAAAAGTAGGGAAGTGTTGCTGCAACTGTACAAGGCATTAGTGAGACTACATCTGGAGTATTGTGTACAATTTTGGCCACCATACTTGAGGAGGGATGAAATTGCTTTGGAGGCTGTTCAGAGGTGCTTCACTTGATTGATTCCAGAGATGAAGAGTTTGTCTTATGAAAGGAGATTGTGCAGTTTAGGCGTACTTCGTGGACTTTAGAAGGATGAAAGGACATCTAATTGAGGTAAATAGGATGGCCAATGGGGATTAACATTGTGGACGTAGAAAGGATGTTTCCTCATGTAAGACAATCAAGGAGATGAGAAGTAATTGCTTTAGGATAAGGGGTAGCAGATTTAAAAACAAATAGATGAGAAGATATTACTTCTCTGAAAAAAAACGGTGAATCAGCAGAATTCACTACTCCAGAGAGTGTGATAGATACTGGAACATTCAGTAAATTAAAGGGGAGATGGACAGAGTTTTAATTAGTAATGGGTTAGAGGGTAATGGAAAGCTGGTAGGAAAGTGCAGTTGAGGCTGAGATGAGATCAGCCATAATAGTATCAAATGCCGGAGCAGGCTCAAGGAGCTGAATTGCCCACCTCTGATCCTAGTTCTTATGTTCTGACAAGGAAAGCTATCCTTCCTTGGCTTTCCCACTGATTTTAGTTGTGCTAAGGCTCTTTGTTACTTAGTGGAATGCTTCATTGGTGTTACGTACTGCTGGTTGCCCTCACCTTTCTTCCAGGTTTCAACTCCTGTGTCTCTATCCAGATCAAGGCAATGAATGATCACAACTCAGAAGTTGTAATTTGACTTTTACATCACTCTTGCATCAATTTAATGAAACAATATTACACCGAAGATACCCAGAAAACCAAAAAGAAATCCAAACATCACTTAACTAAAGAACATCCCCAATTCAAACTTCACTTACCTCCAGGATCACACAGCACAGCAGACAGTGAAGAAAACAGAGAACCACAACCATTAACCACCACTATCTAAAATAATGGAAACATGTGTTAACATATCATTCTTGGTTAATTAGCATTCTACAAACTAGTATCATCATTTTGGGAAGAGAAAAGATGGCCTTTCCATTAAAAATAATTTCCATATTCAATTATATAAAATTTCCAACATTACATATAAGTCACTGATTCATATAAGTGGGTCACACACATTGTTGAGATATCCACTCCTACTACTTCGACAGGCATCCTGTTTTTACTGATGATTCACATCAATGTTACTCAGAGACTTCAACAGAAACCCATTCGTTGAAGCACTCAATCTTCAACCAGGATTCAGCTAAATTTAGCTGAATTATAGAATGCTCAGAGGGTAGAAGGAGACCATTGATGAGTAATGTCTGCAGAGCATCTCTGTAAGAGCAAATGAGATTACCCAATATTCCTGAGATAGCCTTCCCTCCACAGTGCTGCAAATTTCAATCCAACTCCCTTTTGTAAGCTATGATTGAATTTGTCTCCACGTCATGCTCAGTCAGTGCATTCCAGATCCTAACCACAAAATGCACAAATCCTCCTCAGTTTGTCTGTTTCTTTTCTGCCAAGCATCTTAAGTGAGTGGCATTTTAGTTCTTGACTTTTTCAGCAATTGGTAACAGTTTCTCCCTATTTACTCTGTCCAGATCCCTCTCATTTTGAAAACCTCTAACAAATCTCTCTATCTTCTCTTCTCCAAGGAGAACAACTCCAGCTCTGTCATTCTAACACCTGATCTGACGTACCTCGAAGGATTCTCATTACTTTTCCCTGCAACTTCCCAATGCGTTCACATCCTTCCTAAAGTGCAGCGCCATGAATTGAACACACAGACCCAGAAATACTGATCAGGTCAGAATCCATTTCTAATCCTGATTATCTTAAAGTCAGTTCAGCTATAACGGAGGGAAGAAAGAAAAATTGAAGGGAAGTACTTAAAGTGGATTCTTTATACAGGGGAACACAGAGGCTTCTCTGCACCCATTAATCTGATTCCAGGATGCTACGATGCCTCCCTGATGCTAGATTCAAGGATGTCACAGAGTGGCTGCAGAACCTTCTTCTGAAGAAGTCAGAGATTGTGGTCTACGTTGTTACTAAAAACATAGGAAGGAAGGGAAATATGGTCCTACAATCAGAATTTAGGCAGCTAGGTAGAAAATTTGTAAACAGGACCTCAGAATCAGTAGTCTCTGGATTATTCCCAGTGCCACATGCAAGGGAGTAGAGTAAACAGAAAGATAAGGCAGGTGAATGTGTGGCTGGAGAGATGGTGCAGAAGGAAGAGTTCTAGATTCCTGGCACACTGGAAGCGGTTTTGAGAGAGATGACACCTGAATAAGCCAGAGAGGCTGTGATTGAGTTCCTTGCAGAGCATTTTGCTAGTGCTATTTCAGAGGAGGTAGATAGTGGGCAGTATGAAGTTAATTCACAGGAGTGCGATGAAAAACAGGACAGAATATCAGAGAGAAATGCTAGGGTTACAATGCATGTATGTGAATGCACAGAACACAGTTAACAAGATCGGAGAGTTATAGACACAGATTGTCTTGTGGGATTATGATGTTGCTGCAACAACAAAAGCCCAGCTTAAGGAATGGCAGGACTGGATGTTAGAAGTTCCTGGTTATAAAGATTCTCAGAAAAGATAGAGAAAGAAAAAGAAATGGAGGAATGATGGTGGTATTGGTTAAGGAGAACACTGTAGTGCAGGAGAAATAAGGCAATCCAGAGGGTTCAAGGACAGAATCAATTTGGCTACAGATAAGGAAGAAAAAGGCACAATTATATTGTTCAGCGTACTCTGCAGACCAACAACGAGTGGAAACAATGGAGAGGAATAAATTTGCAAGGAAATTACAGAGAGTTGCAAACATCATAGAGTAGTTTTAATGGAGGACTTTAATTGAATATAAATTGAGATAGTAGTAATGTTAAGGATGGAAAGGAAGAAACATTCTTTTATTGTGTTCAAAATGATTTCTTTTCGCAGTCTGTGTCCAGTACAACAAAAACTGGAGGCACTGTTCGACCTGGTTCTTGTGAATGAAATGGGCCAAGTAGAACAAATATCAATGGGAGAACATTTAGGGGACAGTGATCATTTTATAAAGGTTAGGATGCTGGTGGAGAATGACAATGGTTAATCCAGTGTAAGAATAATCAACTGGTGGACAGCTAACTCCGAGAGGGCAAGAATGGAGCTCAGCCATTCAGATTCAGACTTATAGACAGGGACCTCTACCTTCCTAGCTATACAAATGTTTTCCTTGCATTGTACTTAGCTGAGAAGTTTGTTGCAATGTTCTTCTCTCAAAGAGGTGCTGCGTAAGTGTAAGGCTCTAGTGTTGAAATGCCTGTCCAAAAGCCAGCTATAATACACACATCTATATTCAGGCTCAATACTTAGCATATTTGGCTTAAAAAAGCAAGTAGAAGCTGAAGTTCAGCACTTCCATTGTTGCGTGGCATTTGATAGGCACGTATTCTGTGATTTGGGGATGGTGGCAATTCGGTCATTCCTTTCAGGTTGAACTTCAGGATGAGCTCCATAACTTGTAAACATTGAAAACCACTGTCCAGAGATAGTAGGAACTGCCGATGCTGGAGTCTGAGATAACAAGGTGTAGAGCTAGATGAACACAGCAGGCCAGGCAGCATCAGAGGAGCAGGAAAGCTGATGTTTCGGGTCTGGACCCTTCTTCAAAAATGGGGGAGGGGGAGGGGACTCAAATAAATAGGGAGAGGGCGAGGTGATGATAGAAGGTGGATAGAGGAGCAGATAGGCGAAGAGAAGACGGAGACTTGGACACCGCTTTGTGGAGCACCTATGCTCGGTTTGTGGCAAACGACAATACCTCCCAGTCGTGAACCACTTCAACTCCCCCTCCCGCTCCTTGGATGACATGTCCATCCTGGGCCTCCTCCAGTGCCACAATGATGCCACCCGAAGGCTGGAGGAACAGCACCTCATATTTCGCTTGGGAACCCTGCAGCGCAATGGTCTCAATGTGGACTTCACAAGCTTCAAAATCTCCCCACCTCCGACCGCATCCCAAGACCAGCCCATCTCATCCCCGCCTCCTTGACCTGTCCGTCTTCCCTCCCACCTATCCACTCCTCCCACCTCACTGACCAAACCCCCATTCCAACTCCCAATCTACACTCACCTTTACTGGCTTCATCCCTGCCTCCTTGACCTGTCCATCTTCTCTCCACCTATTTGCTCCACTATCCACCTTCTATCAGTGCCTCCTCCTCTCTCTATTTATTTCAGGGCCCCCTTCCCCTTCCCCATTTCTGAAGAAGGGTCCAGACCCGAAACGTCAGCTTTCCTGCTCCTCTGATGCTGCCTGGCCTGCTGTGAAAACCACTGTCCACCTGGTTAGGATTCAAACTAATGAGTTGCCTAGTGACTGTCCAACTTAGAAAGAGGGCAAGTGGGATCTCTTCAGTAACGGGACATGCTCAGTTATAAAAATTCCAAACTGGTCATCCCCTCTGAGAAAATCCGAAAGAACTGCGGATGCTGTAAATCAGAAACAAAAACAGAAGTTGCTGGAAATGCTCAGCAGGTCTGGCAGCATCTGTGGAGACAGATCAGAGTTAATGTTTCAGGTCCGATGACACTTCCTCACAACTGGTGGTAAATAGGAAAATGTTGTTTTGTATGCAGAAAATAAGGTTGGGGGGGGGAAGGGAGTAAGGGGGTAAGGAGTAAACAATAGGTGGGGTTAGCGCCCAGAGGAAGATGAAGTAGAATGAAGAAAAAGCAACAGTAGGAAGACACAAGATTGTGAACAAAGAAAAAGATTTTGAATTCACATGGCTAGAGATAATGGGTAGGCAAGAGTTGAACAGTTCAATGTTCACAGCTATTCTTTACTCATAAATACTCACATTCTCAGGCTTGAGGAGCACTGGTGCCTTACAATAGTATGTCAAAAACTTTCCCACTTGCACACGAAGACTGAGATAGAGAGAGACAAATATTTTTAATTCTTTTGTGGTACATTTCTCTCAATACACAAATTCACAGATAGAAAGTTAATCCTAACAAAAATAGAAAGACAGTTCTGAAGCAAAGAAAACATAAGCATTGCTGTTTTCCGAAGTACTAATTTAAGGTTAGTTGTAGATGGTGCAGGTTTGGAAGGAACTGTTCATGAAGCCTTACCTAATTTCTGCAAAGTGGTTTGTGAAAGGTATACACTGTAACCATTGTAATCTAGTAATGCAGGAATGAATGTGAAATTGATGGATGGGGTTCCCATTCAACAGGCAGGCTGCTTTAGCCTGGATGGCGTTGAGCTTCTTGAGCCTTGATGCAACTCCACTCATTCAGCAAAGTGGAGTATTCCATTATTCTTCTGACACGTATTTGGATGTGGAGGCAAGGAATCAGGCGAGTTATTCACCACTTTTCCTTTCTCAACATCTCAAAAATACAGCATTGTCTATTCTGCTAAATTATTACTGGGATCACCCAACAATGACAGCAAAACTTTCAAAACGTTTTTCTTTCATTCATTCACAGGATGAGGGCATCATTGACTAGGACAGCATCGCTAATTGGGTAGAGGGCAATTCTGAGTCAACCACATTGCTGTGGGTCTGGAGTCACATATAGGCCAGATCAGGTAAGCATGGCAGTTTCCTTCCCGAAAGGGCATTAGTGAACCAGATAGGTTTTTCTGACATTCGGCAATAGATGTACGAACATCATTAGACTCTTAATTCTACATTTACATTGAATTCAAATTCCACCATCTGCCGTGGTGGGATTCGAACCCAGGTCTCCAGGACTTACTTGCATCTCTAAACCAACAGTCCAGCTATAATACCACAAGGCTGTCGCCTCCCCATTTTATAACAATCTGCCTTTCCATTGCACCTTTAATACCAAAAATACTTCAGGGCATTTTACAAAGATGTAACAATTATAAATGGATAGCATGCCAAAAGAGATTTTCCAAGAAGTGACTAAAAGCTTGGTTTTTCAGGAGGCTTTTAAAAGGAGTGGTGAAGAGGTGGAAAGGCAGACTATAGAGGGGAAATTGGGAATGGCCTTAAATTGCTCAATCTCCTGTACTGGACCTAGGAAACAGCAGAGGTAGAGACAAGGAAATACTCAATGGTGAGTTTCCAAAGTATGTATGAATTTGATGAATAAAAATGCTTTCAATCAATTATAGCCACTTTCTACAACTCTGCACAGAGAAATTAAACTTCAAAACTCTGAACATGTAAGAGACCTGAGTTTTGATTCAAATATGTATTACATACGGATTTAAAAAAAAGCTCGATCTTCTGTTCAGCGTCAGACATTAAACACAAAGATTCCTGTGCGCCAACCTATTTGGTGTTTTTTAGCTGGGATTTCTGATGGGTCAGCACGTGGTCTTTCAAGTTCAAGAATAGATAGACAAAGATAGGATATGCCCCCTTTTCACAACAGTAACTAGCATCTTCAGATAAATTTTTAAAGATGATAACTGTCCCACTAGGTGATTTTGATTTGATTTATTACCGTCACATGTACCGAGGTACAGTGAAAAGTGTTGTTTTACAGGCTGATCTTACCACACAGTGCATCAGGGTAACAGAACAGAGCGCAGCATACAATGACAGCATGGAAGAAGTTGTTCTTGAATCTGTTTGTACGTGTATACAAACTTTATGTCTTCTGCCCGACAGAACAGGATGGAAGAGAGTACAATCGGGGTGGCGGGGCGGGGGGGGGGGGTCTTTGATTATGTTGACTGCTTTCCCAAGGCAGTGGGGAGTAAAGATGGACTCAACGGATGGGAGGCTGGTTTGCATGATGGACTGGGCTGTGTTCACAACTCTGTAGTTTCTTTCAGTCTTGATAAGAGGCATCTATAAAAAGTTGTAAGCGTCCTAATGGACATGCTGAATTTCCTTAGCTTCCTGAGGAAGCAGAGGCGTTGCTGTGCTTTCTTGACTGTGGTATCAATGTGGGTGGACCGGGACAGATTGTTGGTGATCATCACTCCCAGGAACTTGTCACTGTCAACCATCTCCACCATTGATGCAGACAAGGGCGTGCCCTCCATTCAGATTCCTAGAGTCGTTGATAGGGAGATTGTTGTGTTTACACCATGCCATTAAACACTCAATCTCCTTCCAGTACTCCGTCTCGTCATTGTTTGAGAACCAACCTACAACAGTGGTGTCATCAGCGAACTTGTAAATGGAGTTGGTGCGGAATTTGGCCACACAGTTGTGTGTGCGTAAGGAGGATCATAGGGGGCTGAGAATGCAGCCTTGCGCCGCACCGAAGTTGAGGATTATGGTGGATGAGATGTTGTCACTTATTCTTACTGATTGCAGTCTGTGGGTCAGGATGTTGAGAATCCAGTTACAGAGAAGTGGAAAGTAGAGATCTAGGTTCTGGAGTTTGGAGATGAGTTTGTTTGGAATTATGGTGTGGAAGGGGAAGCCACAGTCAGTAAATAGGAGCCTGACATAAGTATCCTTGTTATCCAGATATTTCAGGGATGAGTTCCAAGGAGATGGCATCTGCCATGGACCTGTTGTGCCAGTAGGTGAATTGCAAAGGAATTTGGCATTCTGAGAGGCTGGAGTTGATATGGAGCCATTACCAACCTCTCAAAGCACTTCATAATGACTAATGCTACTGGGCAGTAGTAATTGAGGCACGCTGCATGATTTTTCTTTGGCACTGGGATGATGGTAGTCTCCTTGAAATAGGTGGGGACTTCAAATCATAATAAGGAGACAGTAAAGATGTTTGCGAATACTCTCACCTGCTGGACCACACAGAATCTGAGTGCACAGCTGTGGACTCCATCTGGGCCAGTCATTTTCCATCGGTTCACCATTAAGAAGGCCGATCTAACACCTGCAGTGGTGACCATGGGTACAGGTGCATCTGAGGCTGATGGGATAGATGATATCATTTCACTGCCGTTCTGTTCAAAGCAAGCATACCGTGCACTGAGCACGTCAGGTAAGGATGTACTGTTGCCCACAATTCTGTTCAACTTCGCTTTGCAGCTCATTATGTCATGTAAGCCTTGCCACAAATGACAGGTATCCATGTGGTTAGTCTGGGTCCATAGTTTAGTTTGGTATTGCCTCTTGGCTTCCCTGATGAGTGGTATAGTGAATGAAGAAGTGGGTGGATAGATGGACTGGACAGGGTGGTAGCTGGGTCATATTGAGAGAATGGTAATGATAGGTGAGTCAGATTGCAGTGGTCAGCTTGGGTCAGGGAAATAGTTACATCAGGTCACCTCACATCAGGAGATGGTCAGGTCCAGATTGAGTCAGACCAGATATTAACCAGTGTAACAATTTCAGGGTGAGATATTCAGGATAGATTCTAACTATCTAGGACAAATCTCTGACACTGAAATCAGCCCACAACAGGTTTGAATTTATCACAGAATCCCTACGGTATAGAAGCAGGCCATTTAGCCCAATGAGTTCACACCAACCCTCCGATAAGCATCCCACCCAGATCGGTCCCCCTTCCCTATCTCTGTAACCTGCATTCCCACGGCCAATCCACCTAACCTGCACATCCCTGGATATTATGGACAATTTAGCATGGCCAATCGAACTAACCTGCACATCTTTGGACCGTGGAAAGAAACCAAAGCATCTGCAGAAAACCCACACAGACATGGGGAGAACGTGCTAACTCCAGACAGACAGTCACCCGAGGGTGGAATTGAACATGGGGGCCTGGCGCTGTGAGGCAGCAGTGCTAACCACTGCATCACTGTGCTGCCCCCAAGAAATACCCCAGGCAATTTCAGCACAGAGGTGTATGCACTAGGACATCTCTGGCATCCCAATGTTCATCTCCCAAGTTGCATCCAATCTTTCATGATCCAAGCAGCGAAAGTTTTGGACTATCATTATAAGACTGACTCCTACACAAAATGACCCCACATACTAAAGTATGTGTGTGGATAGTGTTTCACAGCTTCAGGTCAGTGCAATGACATAACTGTGCTTCAAGTGATAGAAGTTCACCTCCTACAATCTAAATAGTTCTGAATGGAAGCAAAATACTGCAGATGCTGGAAATCCAAAATAAAACAGAAACTGCTGGAATAAACTCAGCAAATCTGGCAGCATCTGTGGAAAGGGAAACATTTGAGTCTGACATGACCTTTTTTTTCTGAACTCAACTTCACTATTTGTTTTAAAGTTTTTTCTTATAACTATCCTCAGCTAAAATCGCAGATAAAAGCTATCATTGATCTTTTGTAAACATGGCAGCCAAAGTGCACACAGCAAAGCCTCATAAACAAAAATAAATTGCCTTTTCTTCTTTGGTAGTGTTTGTTGAGAAATTCTGTGCCCTTCAAATTATGGCACAATTCCGCAAAGTGACCTTTGTTTAACATCTTATCTGAAGCATGGTATTTCAAACAAGCACATTTTGTCAGTAATTCACTAATCCTAATGTCCCCTTCGTCATAAACTCATCCTTCACTTGGGCTCAAATCTACAGCCTTCTGACTCAGATACGATTGCATTATCATTGAGCCAAGGTTAATAGCAAAACTGTGAGAAGGATGTGATCTATAATCGGCAAATAGCACAGTAAAATTACTCAATACTTACAACTCATGCCCTTTCCAGTCTGGATATTGCAAGAGTGGAGGGTCTATCTGATAAATGTCAGCCCGCATCAACTACAAATAAGAGATCAATTAGCATTTTTATTGAGCAGAAAGGATAAGGAACAATCCTTTAATGATTACAAGGCTAATTGAAAATGGTGTGAACCTTGTTCTATGTTTAAGTTTTAGAATGTTTAAACTCCAAAGCATTAAAGAATTCTGCAGCAAAATGCCAGAAGAGTAATCGTAAAGATACCTTTTAAAGAAAACAAACGTAGCAGCTTTTTATGATATTCAATAGGTTTACTGAATAACACGTGTCTTTCAGTTGTGCTTTTATTGTAAGGAACATTCCAAATTGCTTAGAGACAATCATCAGAAAATTGTCTGTTGAGCAAGGAAGATTACTTAGCCAATGGGTTGGGGATTTGAGAAGGTTTTGAAAACACGGAGAAGGACTTGGGAGAGGATGAAAGGTTAAGGGAGGAAATTAGAAACAAATGTTCAGAAGACTAATAGTTCTGCTGCCAGTGGTGGGTGAACAGGCACTTTAGATCAAATTGATGAGCTTTGATTCATTAGAAATACTGTTTATTTCCTGCTCTATTAGCTTAACAAGCAGATTTATCACTCATCACTCTACAGCAGCAAAAGCAGAGTTAATCTAAACAATTATTATGCATTTTGTTTGACTTAACAAAAGAACTCTAAAAACTCAAGGATAGTATGACTAGGAGAAAAACAGTTATATAATGCATATTAAAGACTTATAAAGTTGTCATAGGCATTTTAAACAATTCAATTCTATCACAACTCGTATCTGTAAAGCACATTTAACATAGTAAGCCAACCCAAAGCACTGTATAGGAACATTATCAAACAAACTTTGAACAAAATAACAAAAAGAGTGTTGTAAAGTAGGAGAGGAGATTAACGAGGCAGAATGGTTTAGGAAGGGAATTCCAGAGCTTGGGACCTAGACAGCTGAAGAACAGCCACCAATATAGAAGTTAAAAATAAATTAATGTCCCACAAACAGGATTGTGGCAAATGACCAGTCTGTGTAATACATGCAATTTACCTCAATTGGTGTATTGCGTCCAGTTCTAGGCATTACACTTCGGGAAAAATGTGAAAGCATTAGACAGCGTGCAGAAAAGATTTACAAGATTGGTTCTAGGGATAAGGGCCTTAGTTACACAGATAAACTGGAGAAGGTTCTAGAATGGTCTGCAACTTAAGGTTTTGAAACAAATGGCTGCATATATAGTAGGAGCATTGGTTTTATCTACCAAAATTCTTTAGCTTCTGGAAGGATTCAGGTAGATTGGAAAACAGCTAACAGCCAATATAGGAAACGAGGAAGGCAGTTGGAGTGCTGATATTTTTTGTGAGGATAATAGAAATTAAGAGTAGTGAGATTTTACTGCAAATGTACATGGCATTGGTGAGACCACATCTACAGCACTGTGTAATATTTTACTCTCCATATTAGTAAAAACATTTAATTACATTAGAAACAGTTCTGAGAATGTTCACTCAACTTATTCCTAGGATGAAAGAATTATGAAGAAAGGTTTATCCATTAGAGTTTAGAAGAGCGAGAGGTAACCTTATTGAAAATGACAAAATCACTAATGGATTTGATGGGGTGGATAATGGTAGGATGCTTTCTTTTATGGGGGGGGGAAGAGTATAACTAGGAGACATGGTTTACGAATGAGACTTCTTTTTAAGATGCAAATGAGGGATGCTTTTCTCTCATAGGATCATTGTCTGTTTCCTTCTCCAGCAAATAGTGGAGGCAGAACCATTGTGTGTAATCAACACTCAATTAGATGTTTCTTTTTCATGGGCAAGGGAATCATGGGTTACGTGGCAGCAAGAGACAGGAAAGTGGAACTAAGATCAGTCAAGATGTTACTGAATGGGGGAAAGGCATTAAGGACTGAATGACCTATTCCAGCTCCTTAGTCCAATGTTCTGGCGTTCACCTCAGAGGAGAGGTTTCACAGGAGATTTAATAGAGATCTTCAAAAATTATAAGGGATTTGGATAGGAAGAAACTGTTCCAATATCTGGAGGGAACAAGAACAAGACAACATTGATTTAAGGTGATCAGCAGAAGAAGAATGGCAACATGAGGAAAAACATTTTCTATGTAGCGAGTGGTTTGGATCTGAAATGCATTGCCTGACAGTGTAATGCAGGTAGACTCACATGTGCATTTCAAAACAGATCTGTTTCATTACCTTAATAGGAAATAGATGCAGGGCCATGGGATCAAAGATGAGGAACGGCACCAGGTGAATTGCTCTTACAGAAAGTTGACACAGACCATAACATATCGCAGCAGAAGTAGGCCACGTAGCTCACAGATGTCTGCTCTTCCATTCAATGAGATCAGCGTTGCTTTACTTCCTCAATTCCACATCCTTGCCTTTTCCACATAACCCTTTATTCCCTTACCAATTAAAAATCAACCCAGCTTCTACAGTTCTTTGTGGTCAAGAATTCCACAGATTCACAAACCTCAGAGAAGAAATTCCTCTTCAATGTCCTAACTGAGCAAACTCTTGTTCTAAGATTATGCCCCCGGTCCTTGACTCTCCACAAAGCGAAACAACCTCTCCACATCTACCCTATTAAGTTTCTTAAGAATCTTGTATGTTTCAGTCAGGTCGACTCTCATTCATCTTAATTCCAATAAATAATAATTAAGCACAAGCCCAAATTACTCAACTTCTCCAAAGCCTCCAATGCTAGAATATCTTTCCTTAGATAAGGGGATCAAAACTGTTCACAGTATTCTGGACACCTAAATAGTGCCTTGTATAGTTTTAGCAAGACTTGCCTATTTTTATACTCAAATTCCCTTTGAAGTACAGACCAATATTTTATTTGCTTTCTTTATTACATGCTGAACTTATTTGCTAACTTTTAGTAAGCTCTGCACAAGGATTCCCAAATCCCTTGGTGCTGTAGCTTTCTGCAGTCTTTCTCCATTTAAATAATATTCAGCGCCTCGATTTCTCCTTCCAAAGTACATCATCTCACATTTCCCCACAGTGTATCCCATATGCCAAGTTTTAAACTTTTAAACTCATTTAATCTACATCCCTCGTGGCATTGTTCTCACTATTTTCGCATAATCTGCAAAGTTGGCTATGGTACATTCACTGATCTCATCCAAGTCATTCATATAATTGTGACCCCAACACTGATCCCTGTGGCACTCCACTAGTTACAGTTGCCATACTAAAAATGTCCCCCTTGTCCCAACACTGTCTTTTATTAGTTAGCCAATCTTCCATCTATACTAATATACTCCCTCACGGGCTCATACCTTATGAAGTAGCCTAATGTGTGGTGCCTTATCAAACACCTTCTGAAAATCTAAATATATTACATTCACTGTTTCCCTTTATCTTTGCTACTTGTTACTTTATCAAAGCATTCTATAATTTAGCTTACATGATTTCCCCTTCATGAAGTAATGTTGACTCTGATTATATGATGTACTTCTTAATGCTCTGTTATTGCATCCTTTACAATAGACTCTAACATTTTCCCAATGTCAACCTTTAAGCTAAATTCCCTCAGTCACTTGTTTTTGTTTGTCTCCCTCTTTTTTTGAATAAAGGCAGTTTTCCAACCATCCGGGACTTTTCCAGAATCTAAGAATTCTTGGAAGATTACCACCAGTGCATTTACTATCAGATCCATCAGATCCAAGGATTTATTGTTCTTTAATCCTATTAGTTTCCTAGCACTTCTTCCTCTTATAATTGATTTTTTTTTTAAAAAAAGCTTTCATGGGATGAGGGTGTCGCTGGCTGAGCCAGCATTTATTGCCCATCCCAGAGGGCACATAAGAGCCAACCACACTGCTTAGAGTCTGGGATTACATGTAGCAGTTTCCTTCCAAAAAGGTCATTAGTGAACCAGATGGGTTTTTTCAACAATCGACAATGGTTTCACACTGTCATCAACAGAATCTTAATTCCAGATTTTTTTAAATTGAATTCAAATTCCACTATCTGCCGTGGTGGGATTCGATCCCAGGACCCAAGAACATGACCTGGGTCTCTGGATTAACAGTCCAATGGTAATACCACTGGGCAATCGCCTCCCCCTCCTATTGTGCTTGTTTTCTCTCCCCTTTTCGTCCCTTGATTATTTAGTATTTTTGGAATGCTATTTGTGTCTTCTACCATGAAGACAACTACAATATCTTTATTCAACTTGTCTGTCAGTTCTTGGCTCCCTGTTATTATTTCGCCAGCCTCATTCTCTGAGGACACGCAGCTGACATTTCAAGTGCAGTACGAATCTTCTTCAGAATGGAACTCCGTTTCCCTCTCCACAAATGGTGCCAGATCTGCTACGTTTCTCCAGCACTTTCTGTTTTCATTTCAGATTTCCAGCATCCACAGCAATTTGCTTTTACTGAAGTCTGTAGACACCACTGACTTCACAACTATCAATTTTTCCACAAGCTCTGAGCAGTATCCTAACCAAATGACTGTAAGCAAGACTAGCTTGGAAACAGTCCCAATGAGTGTTAGACTAGAAACATGAAGCCTTCCAGTTAGCTATGTGGCATTTGGAAGCTCTTCAAAATGCCTTTTCAAATGACATAAATAACACTGCATAGAAAATTGGTAAAGCACTTTAGACAGTCGAGTTCTTAAAACTTCGCATAGTTGAAGTAAAAATGTACGTACCCTTTCGGAAAGCAGGTCAAAGCACAGCTTGTTCTCACTAGTTCCCAGATTAATAAAGCCCTGCAAGGTGGGATGCAAACAAGAAAAAAAAATAATAATCTACAATCTGAACAAAAGAGCTGCATTCAGACTTACTTTAGAAACTCACCCATAGGTTATTAATTCACAGTGTGGGTGCTAGGTCACTCCAATTCCAGTTCCAGGTCAAACTGAATTTAAGTCACATATAGTAAAATAATGTAGGATTTTCATTGCCTGTAATTTGGAACATTAATATTTACCAAATTTATAAACACAAAAAACAGTATTTAAAACAACTACTGACATTACGAAAAGAATTTACCAACATTCTGAAACCCAAGGCCTATGCTACTTTAAAGGAAGAGATACAAGGTAAAAGATTTTGTCTGATCTATTATCTGCACTATGACTGGAAGACTTGCTCTGATTAATATCTTGAGAGAGATAAAAAGAATCCATTCTTTCAGAAACCTCAGGCAATTTAACCAGAAATAACAAACAGAGGATATTTTCTCACTACATTTTCGATGTCATTGACATGTAGGATAAGAGGGGGCTTTTCTCCATGGATTTTATGAATGGCTGATTAAAATGCAAATTAAAGCATTCAGTTATGAATGCATTAGAGTGAAACAAGAAATCACAATGCAGTAACAGTTTCAAGACCAAAAATACTACTTGGATCTTTCAATTTACATATTTTAAAAAGAAACAAATGTGTAAAATTCACTTACATTTTCATGTTTCTATGTGGAATGGGGCATTAAGCTTATATGTGAGGTCAATGATATTGAAATTTCAAAAGATTGGTTTTCAAAATCTTTTGCTATCTGCAGAGTTAGGGTAAACTGCAGGGAGGCAGTGACAAACTACCTATGGGTGGACACTGAAATAATTTTAACATATGCCATCTAGGATGATTCAGTGATGTAAACCCATGTGAAGGAAAGCATTTACATTGTCTACACATTAAGTATTGCTTAAAAAGAAATTGTGAAACATCATGGATAGTAGTTAGTGCACACCTGACATTGCAAAGGTCAAGGCTGGAATCTTGGTCTACTTGTGTGACACCACAGTTCCAAACATGCTCAGCAATTTAAAGAATACACAATGTCGTATCTCCCAACGAGAATTGTGAATCTAAACTCTTGATTTAAATTAGTGCACTTGTCACCCCAATTTGTCTTTACCTTCACTCAAGACTAGAATGCTAAAGAACGTGCCAATTTTGTATAATTTTATATTGTGCAAATTACTTTTAGATAAAGACCCGAAATCTATTGAATAAGCAGACACTCCTCATTGTATCTTAAAAATGTAACTCAGAAATATAGAGAAAAGAAATCAGTGATTTAACACAAACTGAAATTCAATTTGGATTATAGCATGTCATCTCCCAAACGAAGTACATGACTACAAATAAAACCCCAAGGTCCACAAATAGACTGAAACTTAAAGATATTTAACACTGGTTAATGGACATACATTAGGGTTCTTATCTTCATCATGCTTATCTGCATGGTAGGCAGTATAACCCTCCTCAATTATTCCAAAGGAATTAATTTCATTTCCTCTCTTTGATAAATAAATGCTAGATTTAGGTTGTTGGAATGTTGGATTATGTTCTGCATTGGACAGGACATCTTTCAGTCCATTTGGCAGAGATTTGCTCTGATACGATGTTACTCTACTGTTTCCATCTTTAGAGGCAGAAGTGGAGGATGGGTGACCGCCTGGTCCTGTAGCTTGACCAGAAGACTGCGAGAAGGCCTGAGAGAGATCCAAGCCTAAGGTCTGCGTGGAGCCACCATTGCGCAGTGCATTCACCATCTGAGCAAATATGGTGAACATTCTGTACTCATGCTCCCTCTCCAGCTCCATCCGACGTTGTTCCAACTGCATCCGCCTGTCTTCCAGTTCCATGTCCCGTTGCATTCTTCGTTCCTCCATTTGCAGGAAGCGTTCCTCCACCACTCTTTGTGCTGTCAGAAACTTGAGAAGAATGTCATCCAAAGGATCCTTCATGCGGGGTGGCTTCCTTTTCCGACGAAGTCTGTGAAGTGCAGAAAAAGTAGGTCCAGAGGTCGGAATGCCAGAAGAAGTACCACTTACATTTGGGTCCATGTAACCTGAAATAAAACAGGGTGCAGACATAATCATAACCTACATGTTCATTATGCTTATTTTACATTGCAAAACTCATAACAAAATGGAAGAGCTATTGGTTTCAAAACAAAAATTCCAGAATGGTACCCTGGAAAGTCATTTGTTCTAAATTTACTCTAGTTTAGCTGTGCAGTGTTGCTAGGCAACAAATTGTTTCAACTCATTTTCTTTCCCCCCAAGCATTAATTCTAGAATATTCACAAAGGAATTGAATAGGCCATTGAGTGTTGGTCCTGGACTTTTAATACAAGGGTCAAAAAAATCAAGTAGCACAGTACAAGTGAAGGCAAATCAGCAATTAAAATTCACCAGGGACTCAAATCAGGGATTTTTTCTGTCCATCGTCTTTTCCCTCCATCAATGACTTTCTACAATAAGATTCTTGTGCTTTGTCAAAATGACTATGAATCATCTAATTTTCAGGTCTGGAGAGAATGGCAATGGTTATCAGAACCAAACCAATTTCAGTCTTTACCAACAAATAGCAGAGCACACCTACAGTCAGAGAGTCAACGAGTATTTTAAAGCATGGAAAGAGGCCCTTCAGCCCATCATATTCACATCAGTCATCAAGCATCCATCGATCCATTCTAATCCCATTTCCAGTACTGGCTCCATAGACTTGTATGTTATGGTCTTTCAAGAACTCATTTAAATAATTCTTAAATGTCTTTAGGGTTCCCACCTCTACCACCTTTTAAGCAATGCATTCCAGGTACCCACAAACCTCTGCGTGAAAACTTTATTCTTCAGATTTTTTTTTCTTTATACATTTACAAGATGAGGGCACCGCTGGCTCGACCAGCATTTATGCCTATCCCTAATGGCCCAGAGGGCAGTTAAGAGTCAGCCACGCTGCTGTGGGCCTGGAGTCACATGTAGGCCAGACCAGGTAAGGATGGCAGTTTCCTTCCCTAAAGATCCTGATCCTGACCTTAAAATTGCTTACTGACTCCTCTACTAAGAGCAAATGTGTCTCCATATCTAACCTGTCTATAATTCTCAGAACTTTGTATACTTCAAAACATCTCCCCCTCAGTCTTCCCTAATCCAAGAAAAACAATCCCAGCCTCTCTACTCACTCTTAATCGATGAAATGCTCCAGCCCAGGCAACATCCTAATGAATCTCCTCTGCACCCTCTTGACATCAATCACATCTTTCCTGAAGTGTGCTGACCAGAACTGCACGCAGTTTTACAGCTTGGTCCAACTAACATTATATACAGCTCCATCATAACCTCCTTGCTCTTATATTCAATGCCTCAAGTAATAAAGATAAGTATCCCATATGCCTTCTGACCCAAAAATACCAGAGAACTGCAGGTGCTGTAAA